TGTAGTCCACGAAAGCTTATGCTCTAATAAATTTGTTAGTCTCTAAGGTGCCACAAGTACTCCTGTTCTTCGTTTTAAGGTCAGGGGTGCAGACATGATAATAAACATTTATGTCATAATAGCCAGGATTGGGCCCCGTTGCACAGGGCCAGATAAAGAGACAATCCCTGTCTCAGAGGAGTTATGGGGGCACCACATTGTTGCTTATCTGAGCTAGCAAGAAACTACCAACATGGAACCCACCAAGCAAGAGCTTGGTACCTGTGCACTGCACGTAAAGAGTTTGGTAAAAAGACTTGGGTACCTCTTCCATGACTCAGGAAGATACACAAGGAGAAAGAGACTCTCCTGCCCTCTGATAATTGGTAAGAAACTGCCCTCCCAACTTGGGGTATGCCTACACAGCATTTTGGAGCCAGTCTCCCAACCCAGGGCAAGTGCTAGTGCTCTAAAAAGAGCTGTATAGACAGCGCTTTGAAGTGGCGGCTCAGGCTGGAACTGGGCTCTGAAGCCCACCCTGCAGGCGTCAGAGCCAGAGCCCCAACGTCAAAGCACTATTTACTCAGCTATTTTTAAAGAACTAGTGTGAGCCCTGCTAGCCTGATCTATCAATCCAGGCTGCGAGGCTTGTGCCAAAATGCTGCATAGTCAGACCCTTGCTGGTCAACATCTGTCCTCGCCACACAAAGAGGCAGCCTTTCAAACTGCACTTGGGGATGGGAGAAAAATTGGAGGCTATAAGTTACAGGGAAAGCCTAAGAAAGGTTTGCGTCAAACAGAAATGTGTGGATTGAAGTAATTCCATATCCCCCATTGGAAGAGCAGCAACTACTAGAGTTGGGTAGAGAAAAAGATTTTCGTATTCTCTCCGACTCAGGTTACCTCCTTGGCACAATGCTGATCAGAGCCTTATTAGCCGGGGAATTCAGAAGCAGAGCAGAGCCCTCGAGACTGCTCCCATACAGGTCATTCACCAGCACAATCTCTTAGACAACTGCTCTACCAGTTACTAACTTTTAATTAAAAACAAACAGAACTGTCAACAGTACAGGTTCTTTATTATCCCTGTGTCTTCCTCCAGCATTAAAAGAGGGGATAACGACACTAAAAGTACAGAAACCCAGCAGAACTGAGACAGACTGAGTTATGAGGGACTGTAGGAATACATACTGTTCTGAAAAAGTGTTTATCAATGATTTATCAATTTGTCCCATTGGGTCCACTTTCCTCAAACAGCTGTTGGTAATCCGATACAGAATGTCATTCCATTTCTATATTTGTATTCTAGTCAGCCACATCCCTGTGGCTGGTATTTGTTCCTGCAGCCATAGCAATGAAGTAGATTTATTTCCTTTCCCCCAACTTAACCTTAATATGGTCAATATTGTCCTACAGCTAAGTAAGAAAAAGTGCATATGGTTTTAATTTAAAAATCACACGCACCAACTTAGATATCTGTAATAGCCTTAAATAGCTTTCTGTTGGGGATTAATCTAGTTCTTATGAGGGCACAGCTCTTTCCAAACAGTGCTAACCTCAGAGCTCTGAGAACACAACAGGCTAGCCAAACCTGTGCAGAATTCCCCTCTTGGCATTTTGTCTTTTCCCCTGCCCCACCCCACCCCCCAAATCTCACCACCCTGAAGTGCAGAAGCCTGCTCCTCTGGCTAGCTTCCCTGGATCTCTCCACCTCAGGCATTCACCCACCCCTTCATTTCAGATCTCAGTGGAGAACGCTTCTGTCCTACACCTCCCTCACTTGCTCCTCTCTCTGCGATTTATTTCATCCCCTAAAGCGACCCACAGCCCAGTGTGTGACAGCTCCATTAACAAACACGCACTGCTCAAAGCCAGGTTGGGCGGGTCAGACCCGGAGGTGCACGCAGCAGAGGGATGTGATTTCTTTGGGGTAAAGCACCCTGCGCACATTCAGCCCCCCGAGACAAGTACGGAAAGCAGCCAGGCCGCGCTACAGGCCTTTGTCCCAAACCCCACAGGGCAGGTGCAGCCAGCCACCTGCACCCCTAAACACGCCTGTGGGGTGCAGGGGACAGGACAGGAGCCTGGGGAGCAGAAGCGAAAGAGGTCCCGCCTAAGGGAGCCAGAAGAGCCTTCGTGAGAAGGGGGTGCAGGAAAAGGGGGGGCCTCCCCCATGGTGGCGAACAAGGACAGGGCGGGGGTCCCATTGTGAGGGAGGGGCAGACGGGGGAGCAATGGAGGACGGGGGGGGCTGCTGAGGGCAATGGGGGGGCGGGGGCCCACACAGGCAATGGGGGGCAGGGAGGGGCTGCTAAGGGCAATGGGAGGGCAGGAGCCCACATAGGCAATGGGGGTGGGGAGGGGCTGCTGAGGACAATGGGGGGGAGCGGGGGCCCACACAGGCAATGGAGGGCGGGGGGGCTGCTAAGGGCAATGGAGGAGGCGGGGGCCCACACAAGCAATAGGGGGGAGGGGGACTGCTGAGGGCAATGGAGGAGGCGGGGGCCCACACAGGCAATGGGGGGGTGGGGAGGGGCTGCTAAGGGCAAGGGGGGGGACTCCTGCGGGAGGGGGGAGGCAGACTCCTTCAGGGGGAGTGGTGTGGGGGACCCCAACATGCGAGCCCCACAGTCCCCGCCCCGCTGAAGGGAGCGGCTCCTCTCACCGGTGCCTCCTCCGGGCCTCCCCAGCAGCAGCGCCAGCGCGTCCACCACCCGCTCCAGCTTCAAACTCCCGGCCATAGCGCTCCGCGCCCACTGCGCCTGCGCACAATAGCGCGCCGAGACGCCATCTTGGGAGGGTCTGGGCAACTCAGCTCTACGGGGGAGGAACAAGACCGGCCTACCGCCATCTTGGAAGGGTCAAACCAGCGTAGCCCTGTAGGGGGAAGAAAGGACTGGCCCTACCGCCATCTTGGGAGGGTCAGACTAACGCAGCCCCATGGGGCTATCTTCCCGCCATCTTGGGAGGGTCAGACCGTGCGCAGTTAGTTAGATCGTAGCGTGGTTCAGGGCTTGGCTTGGCTCGTCCCGCCCGGCTGGAGCACCCACCGGCAGCCAAGCTCCCCACCTCCTCCCCGTCCCCTGAGCTCCCCACGTCCTCACTCCTCGCCTACCTCCAGCCTTGGCCCGCCAAACAGCTGTTTCACGGCCTGACAAGCGCCAGAGGGAGGGGGAGGAGCAGGAACCCCGCGCTCAGGGGCGGAGGTGGGGCCGGGATTTGGGTAAGAGGTTGGAATAGGGGCGGGGAGTCAGAGCGGGGCCAGGGGCAGAGGGGGTCGAGCACCCACCGGAGCCAGCAGAAGTCGGCACCTCTCCTGTGAGCCCCATTCAGGTGGTGCGCGGATGGTTCCCGCTAAGGAGTGCCTGGGCGGCCGCACACGAGAGAATGAAGGGCCACCCACCTAACTAGTGGCGCTGAGCAGCGTGGCTCCACGAATTAGGTGCCTGGACCCTGGAGAAGATGCACCTGTAGGGTGAGGTGGTGGCCTTGGGGGGGAAGAGGGGGCAGTGGGGTGAGAAGAAGGGGGTGTGGGAAATTTGGGACGTGCAGGGTGACTTTCCCCAGCTCCAGGACTGCGGAGAGGGAGAGACCCCCCTCCTTCCCAGCCCCAGCTCGGGGGCTGCTGCGGCAGGGGACAGAGGGAGAGACCCAGCTCGGGGGCTGCCGCAGCGGGGGAGAGAGGGCACATCCATCGCATTAGAAAGATAAGACTATGGATATTAAAATATGAGTTGTGTGCTTTTATTTGTAGAACCAAAAAATTTGAATTGTTATGTTTTTTTTTTTAATATAGCCCTTTTATCCAAAGCGCTTTACAGTAGTTAGCTAACAGTACAAACAACATTTGGAAAGATCATTAAGTCGTCCGCCGAGACCCTCAGCAATTTTCAAGTGGTCTGTGAAAAAAAAAGTTTGAGAACCACTGTTCTAGAGGATATGCCCAATGCGCTAAGGGCAGCAAAACCTGTGCAGAGACTTTTAGCCTTAACGTTAAAAGAGAAAAGGTTGTTTTTTTAAACAAATTTATTAAAATGTTATAAAAATGTCAGATTAACACAAAGCTATTGCTGTTCTCTGAGCTTCCTTCGGGTCCCACCATTCCCCGTCACAGAAAGGTACAAAGTATTAAGGCAGCCAAATAAACAGTTTAGAAACCAACTAAAGCCATTTCATTTTTTTTAAAAGCTCCATTGCACAGTAAAAAGCAACAGAGGGTCCTGCGGCACCTTTGAGACTAACAGAAGTATTGGGAGCATAAGCTTTCGTGGGTAAGAACCTCATTCTTAAGGAAATTCCCACAAAAGCTTATGCTCCCAATACTTCTGTTAGTCTCAAAGGTGCCACAGGACCCTCTGTTGCTTTTTACAGATTCAGACTAACACGGCTACCCCTCTGATACATTGCACAGTAATTACACTGCACACGTTCGAGATTAGACACCACACTGAAGGAAGTAGCCACAATGGAAAAATATAAATCGGCCTATAGCTATTAAATCAAATAAGACATCCTGCTAAATACTATGTGAAAAGAACATGGCATGGTATTGGCTGGTAATTTCATAGATCCTCTCTCCCCTATTCAGAAATATGAATGAACAACTTTATACAAAAATATAGCATCAAACTGGCTGACAGTCAGGTTTTAGACGTTGCATTTATTTATGCAGAGCCCCAAGTGTACTAGGCACTAACGTCCTGTGACACTTCTTCAGAGTCACACCTCCAGGCGGCAGAGGACCGACGACACACCTCTGCAGCGCTTTACTTCAGAGTTGGTCTATAATCCGTTTTTTTTGGAGGGGGAAGGAGTGCATGGCAAAGTGTAGGGGGTGGGGAAGAACACTGAACTCTATTTAGAGAAATGGAAAGTCACTACTGCACACACAGAGACAAACTATCATCACTTTCCGAGCACGGACAGGGACGAGCTGGATTCATTAAAACCAGCATACAAAGGTATTTGGGCAGTTGCCAGCAGAGCTCCCGAAGTGAGTCCTGGGGTTCCTCTCCAGGAAAGGGTGTGAATCTACTGTCCGTTCCCTGAGGATTTCCTGGGGGCTCTCCCCCATATCTCCCGTGACTGTGATTGCTTAGTAAGAGGGCTACCCTCGTCTTTGGTCTTTGAGTTGGCACAGTGCTAAACGTATCAAAGTGCAGCTCTTGTTTAAGGGTAACGATAATATTAAAAAATAAGTGGCATCTGAAAATTCAATAAAAAATATCTCTGGCAAAGTCCCCTGCAATTTGGCTGTGTTCCAGACTGGCCCAGCGGTAGCTGATCGCCACGGTTACTGAGAAAGGCTACTTCACGCTTGCTCTTCAGAATCTACTCCGTGGGCACACGCAGCACCGAACCACACAATGGGTGGTGTTAAAAAGTGAACAAATCCCATACGCTGGTGGAGGGGAGTTTCCCGCTCGGCTTCCTGCATTCGGAATGAGGTATTCTGAGAGCACCGGGGAAATGGTTACCTGTTAATGACACCGCTGGAAGAGAGGAGCCCCCAGAAGTTAGCAGGCCCCTGTCCTGGGAGGCCTGCAGCAAGAGATGCAGGGCAGGTGAAGATGCTGCGAGTGCGTTCTCCGGGCACCCCTTGCCCAGTGTGCTGCAAAGCAGCAAGACTAGGCCATTTAGCAGGTGCGTGTGAGTGCTCACCCACGTGGGCACAGGGAAGTGGAAGCGCCTGGCCGTCTGGGGGAAGTAACAGCAGCCAGGAGCTCCCCAGCCGCACGAGAGGAAACCGAACTGGGCTGTGGCCTGTGCTTCTAGAGAGCAGCCCAGGTCTGCCCTGTCCTAGAAACAGTCAGTCTGTGGAGGCTGTCGATCCCAGCGTGCCTTGCTCTGCCTTGAGCACGATGGGACCTGCAGCCCCTACAGTGAATTCGTCAAAGTGCAGGGTGTTCTGGGCAGGCTGCCACCAAGGCCCTTGGTTGACCGAAATCTGGATGCCCCCGAAACAGAATTCCCCCCGCCCCCATTAACCTGGAAAGCACTGGCTATCCACGGCTGAACGACGGGGACTGAAGAAACTGAGCCAGGACGACAGATTCACGTAGTGCGACTGTCTGCTAAGGAAAGGGAATTTCAGCCATCCAGCCCTCTCGGGAAGAGCAGCGACTTTGCTGGTCTGTGTTGAACGGGCCGCAGCGACATTTCTCACAGGTGTCGCCCGGCTGCAGCCCGAACACACAGGCGGCGCCTACTCCTCGTCCTCGCCCCCGCCGTACATGTCGGCCAGCTTCTTGAAGCGGCTGCCCCAGTCGTTCAGGTAGTCATAGTCCTGGTCCCGGTCGGAGGAGGAGTTGAGGGAGCTGAGCGAGGCCGCCTCGGAGCCGCTGCCCTCGTAGTCAAACACCAGCAGGGAGTCGTACGGCGGGGCGGTGGGGTCGGTGTCGGCCGCCTTCAGGTTCTGGGGATGGGGAGGAGCGTTAAATCGTGAGCTAGAGCAACAGCTTCACCCTGCCTAGAGGTGTCACTTGTCGTACTTAAATAGACGGAGTGTGTTTGTGTGTGTGTGTGAGTGTAAGTGTAATATATATTATATGCATATGATACAGTGTTAATGAATACATGTATTACTAATAAATGTGGTGTTTTGCCTTATTCCCCCTGAAAAGATCCTGTGCAGTACTTTAAGTACGACATTTTGGTGGAGAATGCGAAAGGGGGAGCAAGCATAGAATCCACAGTTATTATAAAACTGGTGTGCACACCGCCAGCTTTAGCAAGCCTGGCAGTAGAGGAAAAAGAGTGTAAACTTTCAGTTAATTAACCAAACTCTAAAGGATATAGGAGTTTAGGTTTAAATTGTGTTATAGAGGTACATACACCCTCAGCCGTAGCAAGACTGAGCTAAAGAGGAGAACTTAGTGTTTCTCACTCTGATCCGGGGAAGAATTTGTATAATTGGTGTATGAACCCTCGGTGGTAGCAGACCGAGTAATACAGAGGGAAGTTTAGCGTCTCTCCCTCTGGCCCAGAGTGGGTTAAAAACATAAGATACAGATCTTGTTCTGTTAAGCCAAACTCTGAAGGATATAGGAGTTTGGGCAGTGTAGTGTGGTTTATGTTTGTTTGTTTTTTTGTTTTGTTTTGTTTTTTGTAAGTAATATTGTAATTTCACAATTTAAAAAAAAATGGTTTAAGGAACGGGACCAGGAAGGGTGGGGGCTAGTTAAAAAGCCCACCCTCCTTGCTAAATTGGTAGTGGAACAAGGCTTGTGCCCATGGAAAGAAACTGTTTATTGAAAAAAGCAGGATAGGGCCCAGGCAAGCAATAAAGAAACTGGAAAACAGGTTGGGTACAGAGAGTTAAAACAGCACTCTCAAATCTTACAGCAGCAGTAACATCAGAAGAAGAAACATTTAACA